TTTTCACTGCTCGATTCCGGCAGCTTTTATCTGTTGATCGTCTTTGTGGTTAGTGAGATTCAGGCAACCACTATCAAAATTATTCTTATGGATATAAAGATTATAAAAATGAAACCATTAATGGCAAAGATGGTTGATGAAGACGAAGACAATGAGACAATTTCATTTTTATCATCTTTATCTCTTTATCAACATTTGGGCAAGTGATTGCTTGAACCTTACTAACCTCAACACCCTTTAGATGAATTTTGTAAGCTGATTCGAGTGTTTTAAATTTTAGAAAATTTTGAAGCAAAAATTGCGACTCACATGGAAAAGTCAAAGACTGAAATCTAATCAAATCAGCTTCACCAATCTCTCTATATTACTGTCATTAGCCATAACTGGTTGAATTAAGCCGATACTAACTCAACTGAGCTTTAAAAAGATGAGACTAGTTATGATCGGCTTAAGTCTTAATGAAATATTGTGATTCGACTTTCAATATTTACTCTTATCCTTAAACTCAGAGCAATAATTAAACTCTTTCGAGTCAATTGAGATGATATTTCTGTAACAATTCAATAGAATCATGATTTTCTCATTACCAAGATTTGATGAGATAATATTGACTCTATTCAACACTTTTATCATCATTCCTTATCGATACTTCATAGGCTTATAAAGCTGATTGAATGTCATTTAGTTTATCCAATAGTGATTTGGAAAAAATTGAATAAAAGAGTTTTGCTCATTGATCTATCGAAATCAATTGAGCAGAGATTAAATTGCATGATGAAAAGGTGTTGCCTTTTATTTACTCAATTGCTATTGTTAACAAAATTCAATAATGTAATAATCTTGAAACTAATAAAGACTTTTTTATTTGACAAGGAAAAGCTTAATATTGAACCCAAAAATAGGAGGGTCAAGTGTTGTTGTATTACAAGATCAATAATGAGATGTTGAACCAACGTCTATTAATAATGTTAATTACAAGTGATAAACATTATCTGATGAAATGTTTGTTCACAATGGATGCTGATCAATTGTAGGTAACAAATTGCAATTCAAATTGAGACAAAACAAAGGTTAACCAAAGTGTACATTGTAATACAACAATCATCATGACGATCATATAATAACATCTTTACCATTTTCCTCCTATTATAGGATCTCTTTTGCTTTTTCATGTTAATAATGAATAATGCAATTCAGTGTTACCTTGATCATCTTGGTTGTTGGGTCGATAATGAATCTTGAATTAATGGTAAAGGTGACATGGGCGAAGCTCACGCAAGTTGCAACAAAAAATGAAACAAAAGCTCATCTGTAGTTACTTGGAAACAATGGAAACATTAATACCTTTATTTGGGTTTAATTTTGCTCTTTTTTTGGGTTCCTTTTTGTTGCAAAGATAAATTGTCAACTTTGTCTTCTAACCTTTTTACAACATTGAATCATTTCAAGGATTGATTGATGATAATTAACAAATTGAACAAAATTTGTTTCAATTTGTTCATCTTTTCAGTTGTTTTGCTGTTGATACAATTGAAATTAAATATGTTTGCTTTTTATGTTTCACTTTTTTTGGGTTTTTTTTGGTTTGCTTTTGAATGTTGCTGCAAGGCTGATTCATTGTCATTACAAACATGGTTAACAAGGTTGAAAGGAGAAAGGTCAGTTTCTCAATTATCCAAAAATCACGCATTCTACAGTGGATTTTGTTTCTTCTCGCCCTTTCATTTGGTTAAAGGTAAAGGTAACAAAAAAAGAGAAACAAAAATTAAAAGCAAATGAATAGGAAAGCGCAACAACAAATTACATTGATTCAATGATAATGCTCAAGATGAGCTTTGAAAGCGTTGAGATACTCAATCATTTGTTGCTCTCAGTTTTTTGGCCAATTTTTCTTGGGCAAAGTTGATTAACTGTTAACTGGATAACACGACATTTTAATCATTAACTTTACCAACTTTAAACAATGTAAAGTGTAAATTAAAATCAAATCAACTGAAAGTTGCCATTGTGAGGTAACAGTTGCTTTAAGGTTTGGTGTTGTTCAAGTAACCCGATCACGGTTACACAGCTAAATGGTCAAGTCGGTTGAGCTTATCCTAGCATCAATCGATAACATGAAATGATCATTAACTGAAATGTCTATTTGAATCAAATCAACTCGTCAAATTGACTTGATGAGTGAAAGATTATTTAGACATTTTATTACTACAGTGCTGGGACACAAGACAGAGACAAATATTGTTCCAAAAAATTGAAATGATTGTCAATGATTTTCATTGAATCTCAATCTCAACGAGTTTAGTGATTTTGGTTAAACTGTTTCAATTGGAAATTTCATCAAAATTTTTCATCTCTAGAAAAACTGAAGATTATCTAATTTTCAATGATTTTCTCGAATTTAATTCTGGGCTTTCTATTGTGACTAAAGATGCTCAATTTAGATCAATAATTATCATATTTAAAGTGACTTTAGAAGCAATTTCGTTGCAATCTTCAAAAAATCTGTTTCGATTGAAATGATTGAATCTTGATTAAAGTGTCTATTGCTTAAATGCCTTCCTGCAATTGAACTATCAAAATCGACATCAAGTGTTAATGACAATAACTAAACTCTATAAAGAGCATCAATTTGAATAAAAAAGCAACACAAAAAAAGACTTGTGCTGACAAAACTGGACTTGCATTGACCAGTAAAGAGAAGGAAAAATGGGCTCAAAATGAGTGGAAAGCCAAGTGAATCAGTGATGAAGACGGTGTAACAGGAAAAAGGAAATGATGAATAAAGGATTGCTCTGAAAGAAAAGATGAAAGAGTAAAAAAAAAGATTAGGAAATGATGATGATAAAGTGATGCGAATCAGTGTGTGGCAATCAGTAATGATGATGATAAAGATGATGAATAAAAAAGAGACTCGAGTGATGATCCATTGTGAGATGAGAAGGAAAGTGGAAAGATGTTGAACCAATAAAAAAATGTTGAGTCGAGTCTCGAGAGGAACCGCCTTTTGTAAGGATCCTTCAAGTGCGCTGATTAAAGGTAAACCGATTCACCAATGGCAGGCCAACTCTTGACTAGTCAAAGGAGGAGTTTCTCGTCTCTCTTTCCTCTCTTCTCAGGTGAGAAGGCGCACTGTTACTCACTCACTAAATCACTCCTCCAATCTCATCTTCATCTCTCTCCAACTCACTCCAAATGATATTTTTGATGAAAAAAAGCACGACTATCATCAATGATGTAGTGTCACTTAAAACCACGTTTTCGTCTTCTCTTATTACCGTGTTCGTCATCTCTTTCTTTTCCCTCTGTCTATCTGCTCATCATCACTAATTGCTCTTTCTCTTGTTACTCTTTTTATCATCTCTTTCTCTGTGCTTTTGTACACACATTCATCCGCTATCAGCTGCTTCATTAGCATCATGTAAACCAATCAACTTTCAATTCAACTTTTTAATCATTTTTACACAATTTACGATTCTTTTAAACTTTGTTCAAAAATTTGTTTGTTTTGGGTTCCTCTTTTCGTGTATTCACAAACATCAATCAAATTTGATTAATTTTGCCCTTTTGTATTTTGGGTTTCAATTGAAGATCGAGTTCATCTGAATATTTGTCTGAGTGATTTTTTTTCTTCTTGAAATTTCAGCAAATTCTGGTGTCGATTTGTTTTGTTTTTTATATCAACCTTTTTGGTGTTTTATTTTTCAATGTTCAATGAGATTCTTCATTTTATTGTTGTTTCTAACTGTTTACTTTGCCACTTTATCCACTCTAATGGTTGGTTCAATGTTTCATCGTAATGATTATGGGACACATTTCGGATTCTGTATTGATTAATCAATTGGCTTCTATGAGTGCCAATGTTGGAGTTTTATTGTCAAATCAAATTGATTCAGCTTCTCACCCTTTTCATTACCATTCATCGTTAGAAACAGTCAACCCTTTTTCATTACCAGGATCTTTATCTTCTTCATCGCCATCTTCTTCCTCTTCATCTTCTCCGACGTTTTCGTCTTCGTCATCATCGTCGTCGTCCTCTTGCAATTCGCTTTTATCTCCAATTCCAAGTGTACCATCTTTACATTCAAAATCTTATCCTTCTTCATCAACATCATCATCTTCACCATCTTCTTCATCATCAATGTTACCCGCATTTCATTTTACCCAGGAACAAGTCGCCTGTGTTTGTGAGGTTCTTCAACAGTCTGGAAGTATTGAGAGGTTAGCACGTTTCCTCTGGTCACTTCCATCATGTGAACCTTTTCAAAAAAATGAGTCCGTTCTTAAGGCGAAAGCAATTGTCGCTTTTCATAGGTAAGTCCATTTGCCATCTCCACATCAACACGGATCAATGAGTTGCACATGAGTTTGGTATTGATAGAATGATATCGAAAATTTAAAATGCAGAACAAGTCTGAGTTCAGGAATAAGTTGAAAGATACAGATTGAAATGACTATTATTAACTTGGAGTCAATATTTTTTTTGTTCAACTCACATTGTTGGAGAGTCCAGAATAACATGATTTGAAGGCAAAAAAGACGAGTAAATTGTTCCATTGAAGGTTTTCAAAATGCTTTTCACCTTTCAGGTTGTAACTTTGCTTTCCTCCTTTGCCATTTGACTGTAAAAATGTTGACCTTCTTGGTAAGGTGTTTGGGTTGTGACAACCTTGTCTCAGGGTAACCTTTTTTTCCTGTGGTTAAGTTAATAACAATGGACATTTTGTCCTTTTTAGGACAATAAACGAGTATGCTTGTATGTTGATTATAATACAATGATTATGATGTTAGCTTTGTGCTTCCATGTCAAAGGTACAACAGTAATTTAACTTCATCGGAAGTCAACGGCAAATTTAAATGTCTTGATCTCCTTTGCATGTCCTTTTGCCTTGTTGTTGCTGTTACTGTCGCTTTTGTTGATACCAAAATGTCTTTTTTCCACCGCATTTACAAGGTTGATTAGAAAGGTTGATTTACAATCAGATTATTACACAATCCATTATGATAACAATTCGGCGTATTTGGAGACTTTTGTATTGACCATATCGACAGCTACATATGCATGGTAAATCTTTTGGATCAGTGTTTTAATCGAAACCATAAACTGGAATAATTAATCGGCTTTCCTTTCCAGTTAATGGATTTCTGTAACCTTTGGTTAACCTGAAGACATCCTTTTAACCACCAGCATAATGATTTTCCCATTCAATTGATAATCCCATTGTGAGGTCCAATTGTTTTGTCGATGCAATGACTTGCTAGGTTGTCATAATAGCTTGGGATGATTCTGATTTAGCAAAGAATCTGAAATAATCAGCAGAATGAACCATATGTTGATTCAACTTTTTTATAAACTGAACAAACACCACTATAAGGAGAGATAGATTTCACTTTGGATGAAGGGTTAGTCACTAAATGAAAACGAAATTAGTTAGTTTAAAAGAAGCCTGAGGTCAGGAATAAGTTGAAAGATACAGATTGAAATGACTTATTGTTAGAACAATTCTCGTTTTCTATTTTTCAACTCAACAAAATTCTTGGCCAACTGTGCAAGGATAGCTAAAAAGCATTTGTCCGCCAACTGTGCAAGGATAGCTAAAAAGCATTTGTCCGATGTAGATAATTCAATAATCAACTAAGAAATAAAAACTCAGTAAAATGAAACTTTCACACAAAATGTTGATCGAAACAAATCAACTGAAAATGCTTGAATTAGCCAGCACTGTGAGTCCAAATTATTGTTACAATTTGCTAGTTTATCACCAAGTTTTGACCAAAAATAATCTGTTTCACTCTTCAACACGTGCTTCAATCAGTCAAGTCAAAGTGTTGAAGCTTTGAGCTCAACAAAAAACTAGTAAACTGTTGCTGGAAATGGCATTTATTGGGATGAAAGTAATCATCAGTTGCAACCATTTCAAGTGTAATCTTTTTACCACAATTCAAGATCATTGAATGACGCCAAACCAAACTGCAAGCCAGCCAGTCTCGTCTACTTAAAGTCAACATTGAACCCTAACAGACAACTTTATGTTATTCATTAGCTTTTCATCCAATCTCTATTTACACTAAATAATTAATTATAGCAAATTGTTGAATTATGAAGTTCAATAGGAAAGCCTTCCTTTTTTTCATCAAATATCACTCAGTTATAGAGTTACATCAAGTCAAATTGGTACTTTGATTGTTATGAAAGATGAAGTAAAATTCAGTCAAACATTTCAGGCAAAGACAAACAATGGCTGAAACCAGCAAAAAATAATAAACATATTCATTTCTCTAATGATGCTGATAATAATGAAATATCTCAATAATGATGATGAACATGATGATCGATGGTTGTGATGATTGTAAATTGCAATACAATTTTTTCTTGTTTCATCTCTTGTCGTTTACTGGAAACACAACTTGATTAGGATTCTTGATTTAAACCAATGATAACTTTTTGTGCTTTTCAAGGATTCCTTTTTTTCTGTACCAAAAGTAAAAAGATTTAATAATTTTTCAAAATGAAAGAAAAATGAAGAAAATGTTTTTCCTTTATCAATATTTTGACATTGAATGAATAAAAGATGATGATAATGATGGAAAGGTAATATTACATTTCTTTATCAACTGATTTTCGTCGATAATAACTGACAGATCATTTTTTTCCTATTTTACCGACGACAGAGTTTCGTGTTGATAGTTTTTCTTTTTGCTTCTGATTATGATGATGATTAGTTTTGTTTTGGGACAAGTTTACTTCATTTTGGCCTGCAGCTTTTTGAAAGATGATAAGGGAAGACGATGAAAATGATGATTATTATGATGATTATAAAGTAGTATATGAAGACAACATGAAAAGTAAATGGGGCAAAATTTTTTGACATAACCAATAATTAAGATGGATATTGTGATGTGACGACAGCTAATATTTTTGTTTCTTGCATCGCTAAACTGGTAGATTTGTTTCATTAGTTAACCATAATGATTGCATTCATTTATAGCTGATTAAAAATGTTCATTTTGATCAACTTTGGGTTGTTTTGGATTATTGAAACAAAAAGATTACTCAAAGATCAAAGTTTTACCCAGAGATTTGGATTGACCAATATGAAGCTCTCGGATAGTAGAGACGAGCGGTGTGCTTTCACCTTGGCTTTCAAGCTTGCTTAGTCTGTCAAGAGGTGTAACAACTTTATCGGCAGTTATTGTGTTTGACTGAATCCAAGCTAATCCGAGTTATCAAGCTGAACTTTACAACTCTTTGGACTAACCTTTTAAAGCTCTTCTGGATTAGCTATTTGGCGCATTTATTGAAGGGAAACTTGCCTGCTTTTAGCAACTCATGAGTTAATCTGATTAGATGCCTTAGTCCCATATTTAAATTGAGCTTTCACAAGCAGACATTTAGCACAGACTACAGGTACATCACGACTCCTTGGATCACACAATTTCACACTTTCAAACACTTACTAGCAGAACGAAAAGATGAAACTATGTTTACTTTCAAACTCATCAATTACAAAAATTTATCAATTGAATGAAGCATTTTCAACAGATAAATGATAGATGAATTCAAATCAAACTCGCAATGAAAAAGTAGAAAATTTGTAAAAATAAAACATTTTTTCTTCTTTTTTTCACTGAAAACATTCCAAGCTGATGATGATGATGACAACTGAAAATGTTCATTTAATTAAGCTTGAAAGTAGTCAGAGAAAAAGATGAAACATGAAAATTGAGAAAGTAAATGTGAATAAATTTGGATTGTTTTTTGGTGCAAGTGTAATACAATTCAACCATTTTAAATGAATGAGTTTTTAATTCATCAGTCAAAAAGTGCAACTCAAAGTTTGAAGCAAAAAAAAAGGTCGACTTTAACAGATTCAATGAATTTCAATATTGACTCTAACCATTTACAAAAGATACTTGAGTCTGGTTTGTTACCATGTTGTTGTAATCAACATGATAATGTTAACAAGATTGAATGTTTCTTATTCTCACAGTTGAACACAGATCTGCTCAAGATTTGCAGTTATCTTTACAGGAAGAGTCAAAAAAGATTAACCATTTAACTTGAGCTTTCCCGGGTTAAAAAGTTACTTTTTATTGAAGCAAAAAGCAAGAAGCAGCAAGTAAACGATAAATGCCAATGTGAATCACTATTTTTAGCACCACAAATAACATGCTTTGAGAAGCATCTTTTTTCTTCGCCTCGCAAGGTTAACATTCATCATCATCATCATCAGATTCTTCATCCTCATCCTAATCTTTGCTCGTATTTTTCCATCTCAACACCAATCTTTTTATATTTATCAACGAAAGAAGAAAGAACTGAAGACAAAAAGAAAATGAAGAGAAAATTTTCACCAACAAAAGCAGATCCGGTGACAAGTTTCACTTTATCAACATTTCACTCCAATTCGCCCTGCACTTTCTCATCATCATCAGCATCTTTATCACACATAATGAACCCAAAAATTGAAGATAAACTGATCTCCTATGGTTTTCAGTTGAACTGCAAAACAAACAAACTCAAAGTTTCTTTTAACAAATAATTTGCTTTACTTTTTTTCTGCCCAATTTTGAATGTTACAAGATATCAATCATAACGATAAGGAAAAGGTTGCACTTGATTCATGTGTTGAGGAGAGTTGAAACTTTCGAGTTTATTGAAAATTGTTTTTTGTTCTTTTTTTCAGGGAAAATTTCAAGGAACTGTATCGCATTTTGGAGAGTCATCATTTTAGTCCAGCATCTCATCAAAAGTTACAGGCATTGTGGTTAAAAGCTCATTATAAGGAAGCTGAAAGAGTCCGGGACAAACCTTTAGGTGCAGTTGGTAAATACAGGATTCGTCGTAAGTATCCTTTACCGAGAACCATTTGGGACGGTGAGGAGACTTCCTATTGTTTTAAGGAAAAGTCGCGCAACATTCTCAGAGAATCGTACAACGAGAATCCGTATCCTTCGCCGAGAGATAAAAAGATGCTTGCCGAACAAACTGGACTCTCAACGACCCAAGTAAGCAATTGGTTTAAAAATAGAAGGCAAAGAGACAGAGCTGCTAACCAAAAAGATGGGTGAGTTCACATTCACATTCAATTCGTTTTCATCAACATTTAAAGCTTTTCGGATAATTAATCAATTTGAACAGTCTAGTGCTTATTATTGCCGTTTGGTCAAAAGATTGACATTTCTTGACCATTTTATTGCTGGAAAATCTTTCCAGTCTTTATAGTCTAGAGAGACTGAGACTGAGTGATTTTGGCAAAACTGTTTCAATTCTGTTTTCCATCTCTAGAAAAACTGAAGATTATCTAATTTTTCAATGATTTCCTATGGAAACTTATTCTATCGAATTTTGATTCTCAGCTTTCTATTGTGACTATAAATGCTCCATTTAGATCAACATTTAAAGTGACTTTAGAAGCAATTTTGTTGCAATCTTCAAAAAATCTGTTTCAATTGAAATGATTTAATCTTGATTAAAGTGTCTATTGCTTAAATGCCTTCCTGCAATTAAACAATCAAAATCGACATCAAAAGGGTTAATGGCAAAAGATAAACTCTCTAAAGAGCGCCAATTGGAATGTAAAAAGTAAAACACAGAAATGCTTGAAGTCCTGAGAATTTAAAAAAATGAATAAAATTGAGTCTGAATTTTGGAAGAAACACATTGAACGATGTAAACTTGCCGACTAAAAGATCCTCAAGATAAGATACTTGACGAGTTTAGAGTCGTCCATACGCGGTTCATAAGTCAAAGCTGATCCATTTAAAGATTTCCTTCGCCACTCATTTAGCGTTGAAAATTTTTGAAACTAAATTATCACTTTCATTGTTTAACTCTGTACTTTGACGAAATGAGATATTTTTAGATCGAAGACTTTAAAATGCTTCAAGACAATAAGTGGAATAACAAAAACACCGAATAAAGCTAATAGAATCGAATTTCCTTAGTTGATGAACCAAAAGCCGACCAAAGACGACTGATCCTTTCAAGAGTCGTGAGACGATGTTTGAAGATCAGAGCCGTTAGCAAAGTATTTTAAAGAGACATTAATCAAAGTCAATCTCAATTTACGAAATCGATTTTACATGAGTTTCTAGAAACTCATTTTCAAATCTGAATAGATAAAAGATTTATCCAGTAATTTTCAAAAATAAGAAAAATTAATTCAACACATAATTTCAATGGACAATTAACATGGCGAAAAAGCTCATCAAGTTACTTAAAGTTGCTCAAATCTTTAGCATATGATTGACAAAGGTTCAATTGTTTGAGAGTGAAAGTTGGTGAGGAACCAGAAACAGAAAGCAGTGAAGATGAGAGTATCACATGACTTTAATTAGGTTAAAAGAAGCGGAAAATTTAACGATTGACCGTAAAATGTTATCCTCTTTTGGTCCTTTTTTTGGTGCGAAAAGTGAAGTTGAAGGTTTTGCAACAAAAAAATCGTGAAAAAACAACAAAAAGAAACATTTAGTTTCTCTGAGAGAGAAGCAAGAAAAATGAGCAAAATGAAGATGAAAAGGGCAGAAATAGGTTAGCAAAGTGTTTAAAATTGCTTTAATTGTTAACAATTTGTTTTACCTTTTCTTGTTCTCACATTTCTCATCAACTGATTGCCCTTTTTCAGGTAAACATGCATTTCTCACTTTTCTAGTTTTTCCTCGTTTCTCTCTTTTTGTCTTCATTTCAAAAGTGTAATCATTTTCTGCCTTTGGTGTTATCCAAACCTTATCAACTTGAATACTCTGAAAACGTGCGTCTCCCTGCCCAATCGGAATCAGATATACATTTATATGAACACTGACAAAGACACTGTGCAATGGAAACCCTAAAGGCAACTCAACTTTCAGACGCTTTTCAATTTTTACGTTTACCTTTTAGTTTCAATTTTTACACATTTTCAAGTTGAGGAAACAACTGTGCAACTTGTGTATTTGGTTTGTTCAATTTAAATTAATTGAATCAGCAAATAACTTTTCTGTTTTTTTTCTTCTTCTTCTTCTCCTTTTTTCGCCATCTTTTCTGTACTTTTTGCTCTCATTTTGGCATCATTTTCATCTGTTAATCATCAATGAACACATTTTTATTTTCCTTTAATTTCCATGACAAATAATTGTTGTAGTTTGCTCAGTACAATCTAATTTAATTGCAATTACACACAATTAATTATTTCATTTTGTTTTTGCTCAAGGTAATCAATGTTGGACGGATAAAGGTTAACACAGAAGGTTTCAATCAATTTTCAAATTTTGCTTTTCCAGCAAAAAAGTCATTTTTATATATTCGCTTTGTAAATGTGTTTTAAATTAATCATGTTGAAGGTTAATTATTGTAACATTATGAGTTTCAATATGAGCAATGATGTAAGGCTGATTAACATTTTCACAAGGCTTTTGCTGTTTGGGTGGATTAATTAATTCAAGTTTTCAGTTTGTGTAAAGTTTAATCAAAAAAAGATCAATTTGCTTTTCCGAAAGTACATCAAAATGAGTTGAAAAAAAGTAAAAAGTGTGCAAAAGCGAAAATAAAATGATTCCTTTTATCGATTGAGTAGTTTTATCGACTTTTCCAATAGCTGATTGGCGCCAAAAATTAGATGAAAACTCTCGTACAATATCGCATGTTGATAGTTAATTGTCATTTACATTGGTCAATTATAAATCAAAAGTATCTAATTGTTGAAAGGCTCACAGATCTTAATTTATACGGAAAATATCGAAATGGTCTTCGACATTTTCATCTTTCGCCACGTCTGGACTGTTTAAACTATTATTCCTCTCGATCTGTTTTTTCTGCTCATAGCATGTTTGGACCAAGTCAGAGACATCGTCTTTAATACAGGCTTTGGAAACATCATGAGAATTGAAACGATTTTAACAAATCACATTCTATTCAAATCTCTAATCGTAAATAATTTTCCAAATGTGCAGTTTTAGATTTGCCATCCATATCTCGTTGTTAGAACTAGCTTTTTAATGTTCATTAATATTACCGTTGAATTTGAAAGGATTTACCTTTTTGTAATGGGTTTGGTTATTATAATGTGATTGCAAATGGTTGAGTCGTGATCAACGGCAATTGGAGTTTTTGAAAAAAATTAGTTGAGGATACAAAGCAACCATAGACCAATTAACTGGTACCAATACTTGTACAATCATTAACAATTTTGATGAACCAGTTTGCATCATTTATCAAATTGACAAAAATTTCTCCAAAAACATGAGCAAATACCTTTTGTTTAGCCAACATGTCTAACAATTGATTAGATCATTTTCATCTCGATTTAGTTTCGCATTTCAACTGTACCATGAATGACTCAATAATACAGCTTATTGATTATTAATAGCATTTGCACACAATTTACCATTTGTTTTGTACTTTTTAAAAGCAACTCAACATTAATAAACTTGCAAGTTTACATTTAAATGTTGGAGTAAATCTGGTTCTCTGATCCGCTTTCAATATCAACTATTGAGTTTATTTTTGTTTAACCAAAATGAAAACACAGCTAACAAAGGCGACAACAAAAGAGATTGTTTTTGGCACTAAAAAAGCATGATAACAATCAAAAGTTGTAAATCAATTTCTATTCTAATAACAGTGTTAGCATTTAATTTAGTTTTGTTCATTGTCATCAAATGTGAACATGTTATTAATGTAGTTGATGATGATGATGATGGAAGTGATGAAAGATGAGAGGAAAATTATTATTGATTGAATCAGGTTATCCAGGTATCATTTGTTGGAGCAAATTTTGTGTAAATGATGTACTTGAAGACAAGAGATGTTTTCATCCGATGAGAGAGTATAAACAGTTTAATGTACTAGAATGAAGATGAGGATAAAGATAAAGTTGGTCCCCAATTTGTGGTCTAATTTAAGCCTCAAAATAAAAAGATTACGAGGTGAACCTGTAGTTAGCAAGTGAAGGACCATTTCATCCATAAATATCTAGTTTCACTGTAACTTCATCTTTCGTCTTATTTTTCCTTCCAACTTCTTCCACTCTGCTTCCATCATTATCATTCCCATCATCATTATCATCTTGCTCTTTGTAACAACCTTCAATAACTGGATATTTTGAACATACAACTGTGCAACTCTTTCTGTCACTTGAGTAAAAGAAAAGATTTGGAGAAAAATTTTGAATTCTTTTCTCAATATTACGAGTTTTCGAGGGATAATTTGCTTCTTTTTGTTACCAATTAATTCTGTCATTTGGAATTATTGAAACTCGAAAGAATTGTTAAAAATGCAAAAGCTCATTCAACCATTGAAATGAATTGCCAGGTAAAAGAACAGAGTGAAAAGGTAAAAAAGGTTCTCTTGCATTTTGGGCAACTTTTTTTTATCCATTTTATTGCATTTTGTATCTGATTTGGTTCGTCAGTTTTCCAAGTAAACTAAAAGGTAAGAGAAGCTGTTTTTACTTTTTTTGCCCAATAAGGTTATGTCAATGGTTCTGCAAGGTTTGCAATTGTAATTAACGTTAATTTAGCTAAACAAAGTGTTTGTAAAAATTAAATGATCTGAACAGTGAATGGAATGGGAAACAAGTGAGAAAAGGCACTCAATGAATAGAAAAGATTAAACATGGAAAATTCAAGTTTCAGACTTTGAGCACATTTTGTTGCGCTAAAGATTAAATTTAGCCTTGACTTTCAATTGAACATTTCATGATAAACTTTGAACCATTAAACATCATCAAGAAAACCTTCCAATTTCCACATTAAATTAAAGTCCAATCGAACAGTAAATCGATAGAAAGGTTCATTTCGATGAAAATCGATGTAAAAACAAGCAACAAAAAGACTTATCAAAAGACTAATCAAGAGATTTTCACATTTCTTAGTTTTGCAATTAGAACGAAAAATAACTGAAATTAAGTTCGAATAGACTTGAGAAAAGAAATGAACATTTCTCAGGTAGACCACGATCCAAGTTGTCCAAATACCCAAGTCAATATTCACGAGTTTCTTAGACAGTCAAAAATGGAGGATCAAAAACGAATCGAGAAAAGTCATTAATTTTGAAACAAAAGTCAGTTTACGAAGTATTTCCATTTTTAAAGATTTTTAAGTTTTTCTTTCTTTTTGTTTTTTAAAGTTTCGAGTTTTATATGAAAAGTGAATTGAATTGTGATTTCCTTAAAACTAAACTTTAATTTGTTTCCAACTTTTGATTTTGAATGAAAGCCAACAAAATTGTTGACAATGAATCGGGAACAGAAAGGGAACAAAAATTATGATGAAAAAGATTTGCTTCAAGGCAAATACAAGTTGTTGAAATGTTGCTTTTTTTAATAAAATCAAATCATCTCAACAATAATCTGATTAAAGGTACAAAAGTATATTGAAGGAGGAGCAAAACATGGCAACTCTGCCCATCATCATTTTGCACTCTTTTTCATCTCTCTTTCATCCATCATCATCATCATCATGTTATAGGACAACAATGTAACTCTATAACAATGAAAATGATAATCAGTTTGATTCACACTTTGACAATTAATAAATGTAACAATTGTTCACTTTGACTCGACTCTTAAAATTACCTCAATTGAAAGTTGATTAGTATTTAAATATTAGTAATTGCAATTGTACTTACAACTGTTTACAGTTGCTACATGATGGTTATCATGATAATGATAGTGAAGATGGTCGAGTAAACAAACAGTCAAACCACAAAAGTTTGTTATTAGCGGTAATAATAATGGCGATAATAACTGTTATTATCATTTATTATGCTTTTCACTTTACTTCAACATTTTGTATCCAAGGTAAGTTAATAATTATCTCACAACCTTATAATCAGATGGGAAGATTTCATCTTTTTTTTGGGTAAAACTTTTTCCTTTTCACTTTTCACTTCAATTTTGTTTCCACATTCAATTGGTGCTTTTTGTTTTGTGGCCAATTTTAGTTGAAACTTTCTTCTTCACTCACTTTGAATAGGTGCTACTAATAGTTGCTCTTTGCCTATCACTTAACCAGGTTGGGTTAATTTGACTGCTTGTTGCTGCTGTTAACCCTTGGCCGCACCTAGGACACCACACAAGCTCTTTACAAGCAATGATAATGATCGTGTGTTTTAAAATTAAATTGGTCCAAAGTGATTATAAATAATACCTGATGTACACCTAAGTGTGCATCTCATTTGCTATTCATCAAGCTTGGCTTTCCCTCTCGATGTTGAGATAAGAAACTCGATTGAATATTGGAAAATATTGAACTTTTCAAATAACTTGGAATAGATAAAAATATGACTCAATAACATTCAGACAAACTCAGTTTTTGAATTTGCAAAATGCTCTTTTCTGACCAAATCTCAATTGAATAATTAATGGACAGTTTTTACAATGACAAAGGTACATGTTAATAGTGTCGATCAGACTTGCTCAAGTTTCTTATAAAATCAGATTCAATGATTAACTTTTCAATCATAATAAGAACACGATTTTGGTAATGATAATGAATCTCAAGTTTCTTGTTTATCATTTTGCACTCTGAGAAGCTCTTTAGTACATTAACCAGGGCAAGAAGCACACAAAGATTTTCAATATTTTCTTGTTTATTTTGTGTAATTTTTGTTTTGCTTTTGCCTTCTTTTTGCTCTCTCTTTCTCATATTTTTTACACACAATATTTAGCTTCTTTCTGGTTTCAAACAGTGTTTGAATCAATTATGATAACTTTGGACTTCTGTTGAGATAGTTTTACGTCTAAAGTACAGTTTTTATCTGAAGTTACAGAGAGGATGTAAGCTGTTCATCCAACTGGAATAAAGGTTTGTTGACATAAGCAAAAGCAAAACTAGCCTCAACTAAACGCACTAAACTTTTGAAGGAAATAGATGAGGAGAAGTTGAAGCGAAAAGATAGACACAAGAAGATAGAGATTCTGTATCATCTCTTCTCTCTCTCACTCACTTTGATGTTGAGAAAATATCACATTTCACAAAATCATTCTGACCTTTCAGAGCATTTTGTAACACATATTTTGTTGAGTGAAACGTTTTTAGCCTTTTCCTTGCCCACTTTTAAAAGAGAGAAATGGCTTCAAAATTTATTTCTCCAACTAATGTTCAGTTAAAAATGAGCTCAAAAACAAAACATTTGCAAAGGTAAAACTAGAGCAAACAGAAATCTTTCAAGTAGCCCTTTTGTTCGTTCATGCATTTAGCTTAATTTTTGTGCTTAAAAGAGCAACTACTCTAAGCTCTTGTGCTATAAGGAAGCTCAATGAGTTTCCATAGTTTTCATAGTTAAATGGAATGGTTATTAAGATAAAATCAAACACAATTTAATTTTTACTCTCATGCGAAAAGGCCATTTCTTATTGGACATTTCTTATTAGCTCAAAAGCCGAAGTGAGTGATAAGACGTGAAAAAGGTGAAAATCAAAATAAAAATGATAAGAAAGCTAAAATGAAAATAGGAAAACCCATTGAAAGGAATGACAAATCAAGAAAATCAAAATTAACAAAAATTTTGAGATTAGATTACAAATCGGTCTAAATCAGTTAAAGCTAACCTAAGCTAACCTAACCTCAACACTCGAGCTTATGTGTCATACCTTCTCGATACAGTAGTTTAACCATTAGATAACTTGGAATCGGCAGTTGAAAGATTTACGTCACAACAAATGATTGAATATCAAAAGTTTGATTTGATTGGTGACCAGAAAGACTTATCTCATGAACAAATCTAGATTGATAAGAGACTATCAAATCTTGATAATGCTTGACGCTAACTGTCAATTTACTGTTAACAAAATAACAGTTGGATCGATTCATCTTTGAAGTACTGATGATTCTATGATTTCATTTTTGATTATTTCCTCAACATTCAAGAAAATTATTGAAAACTTGAACCATCTAATGAAAGCGATAAATAGCCAAAGGAAAGCAATTATGCGCACAAGATTCAAAACGTTGCCTTGGTTAAATTTTCACAAGATAATCTGTCACCATGATTGACTGTGAAATGTTATTTTTCCTTTTGATAACTTTCTTGTAATCAATAAATGTTGAAAATGAATGTAAAGAGAAGAGTTAATCAGCTTGTTAACTGTGATAATAATCAACTGTTGAACCTATTGTGAGAGGAACAAAAAAATGGAGAGAAAAAAAATTATTTTTTTCCTCGTTTCTCTTTCCTTTACAAAAAGTCCATTCATATGATTGCCATTATTGTGACAGAACAAAAAGAAACATGAAATAGACAATTGATAATGATCAATTTCCTTCTTAAATTTTAGGGTTCCTTTTTGCTTTTATATAATATCGTTATCATTATAAGCATCTTTGTACATTCGGACAAGCTGGTTCCTTTTGTACCTTGAAATGTTGAGCCTTCATCAGCAAATCCAGAAAAGATACAGTTAATTTTGTCCTTACCTTTAAGCCATGTTTCTCTTTTACCTGTGTAAAGATGAAAATGATGATAGAGATAATTATAAGAGTATTGCATTGTGATCGTAGCATCAATCAAGTTACAATTGGAATGAAGAGAAAATCAGTTTTTGCAAGAAAAAAAAAGTTGGATGATCAACGGCAAAGGTAAAAAGGCCTTTCATCCGTGACCGGTGAAGACCAGAAGAGTGAGCAAAGTTGAATAGGTAAGAGATGAATGGAAGGAATAAAAGTTTGCTCAAAGGTGGAAATGTGTTTTTTCTCATCAGCAAAAGAGTGGAGCAAGTTGTCGAGCAAAAAAAGGTAATTCAATATCGTTGGAAAAACTAGAAATGATGAGATGCAAGAAAAGGAAAGACGATGATGATGATAAATGAAATAAAAGTGGAAGAGAAGATGAAAAGTGTCAAATTTCCTATTGGATCGATGGATTAAAGAGAGAGAGCGAGAGAAAATGGAATCAAGAAAAAAGTACAGAAAATCAAGTTATAGAGAATGATTAAGAAAAAAGGAAAAAATTCATTCATGATGATTAGGATGATGATGCATGTGAATGAATTGATTTTTAGTTGTTATTTAGTATTAAAAGCAAAAAATTTCTCATCAGCTTTTTATTGCTCATTTTATCATTCAATCAAGATTGAGTTACATTCGTGCTATCATGATTTTCATATTGAACAATTGTGCTTTTTTAATGGAAATTTAAATTCTCATTTCATTCCAAGCATCGAGTTTCATGGAAATCTCTTCAATCAATTCAAACGGAATTTGCAAAAAGATGAAAAATTTTATTCCAATATTGAAACAAGAATTTCAAGATTTCAAAGTTTCCATTTTCCAGTGTTACTCAAACATCTAAAATTTTCAGCCAGAATTTATCTGAAACATTTATCGAAAAAAGATCGATATTTTCTTTTTCTTTTCGCAATTTTTGATCTAAAAATGGTTAAATTATCGAGTCAATTTAGGAACGAAAAGACTTTTTTGTTGATATTTTTTTAATGTTTTTTGACTTGGTTTTAATATTTTATTTTTGGTTCTATCTTTTCAGTGGGGACAAGTCGGGTGGAAATGGTTCGGGTTCAAAGTTGAAAAATTTGGACGATTCCTCTAACTCTGGTCATTCAAGTGACGTTACCTTGCGCGGTGAGAGTCCGCCTTTGATTAAAAGTGGAAGTCGCGCTTCTGTATCATTGACTCCAACTGGCAGTCTTACTGGACTGGGTGCCACACTGTTACCCGAGAGTCGTACCAATGGTTCATCGTCTTCAAGTGAAATGGTTGATGCAGTCAACATGGCAGCAAGCTACCATCAATCGGTCCAATCCATGTCCAGTGGTTCAGCTGCAGCAGCAGCAGCCGCGGCCGCAGCAGCAGCAGCAGCTTACCATCATCATCATCACCATCCTCACCACCATTCAGGTTTCAAGTTTACTCATCATCATTCACTTTCCACCAACGGATCAGTCACTGGACCGTCAACTGGAGGTAACCTGGGATCACTTGATGGCAACACTGGAATCTCAGGCAATCCTAGCATCTCCACCGTCTCATCCAATTCAGCTCATCCCTCAAGTCACTCACATCATCATCTTCCTCCTCACCTCCAGTCCCACCATCATCATCACTCACATCACCATCCAAGTCTTCTTTCAAGTGATTCACTAGCCATGGCATATGCTCCCAATGAGCTGAAACGTTTCAATTTCAACGAGCCAATGTGCTGAAAGACAAAAAAAGATAAAGAGAAAAAAAAAGAAAAGAAAAATTTTCAATTCTTTTTTCTAACCCAAATTATAAATACATATTATACATACCTATCACCACCCCTAGCCCAACATCATCACCCTTTAATTTATATAAATTCATCCGTTTCCAGTAAAATCGTTTCATCATTGAGCAACAGAAAAAAGAATTATCTAAAAAATTTTGACAGAACATTGGTGCTAATCAACAAGTTCAAGTTCAAGTTTCAAGACACGTTTTGACCATAAAAATAATTTCCCTGAGCCGTTCATCCGAAAGCTTTTTTTCCTTGCACTTGTCATCATGATCATTACCATCATCAGCACAATCCAAAAACATATGATGAACAATACTCAATGAATAAAAAATGATGAACATGATAAAAAGAAGCAGATGAATTTGAACAATTTTCCAGCACGTAAAGACGCTAAAACGTTGAAGCAATAATTTTGTGTTCCTTTTCCAACGGTGACCATCAGGGGTAATGTGGCAAACCTGACAACTGATTAGCACCTTGGTACAGTCACTTCATGATTCATGACCACTCACTGCAATATGACAACAAAAAAGAGGGAAACACTAAACTCGATGTTGAACTGATGGCCGATGAGCGATGATGAAAACGATGTTAACGAGACTCATTTCTTAGGCATTGTTAATTTATGTGAAAACACACACAAAAGTCATTCCTATTCATTTTTGTCACCTTGAATTTAATTTGTAATTTGATCGAGATTCAATTTAATCATTTTATTGTATTATATTAATCAATTGTCAGAGACAAATAAATTGACGGCAAAGAAAAGCCCAAATTTTGAAAACAAAAAGTTAACTAAATGGAGAAACTTAACAGTTCAAGTTATTAACAATTAAAGCGAAACAAAATTAAATTAAAAAATCATTCCACAATGAATTGATATTCATTTTCACCATTCATACCTTTCAATAAAACAGTTATATTGTCAATCCTTTTCTTGCTCATTTTCATTGAATATTCAGTTGAATGCATTTCTGCTTCATTCAGGTTTTTGTCTTTCTAATGAGATTAACATTGAAAAGTTTTGGAAATGGTTTTTGGCCCAACAAACCAAATGCATGATTGAGTTGATTTTACGTGTTATTGAAAGGGAATCAAATGTCGTAATATTATCATGGTTTCAATGAAAGACACTTGACCAGTCAAGTTAATCTGTTAAGCTTTTAAAATGAAGATGATCTGTTTTGATGTGCTTCCAGTATCTTTTAGCTTTCATCACTTGGATTAAATTGCTATTAACTTGTTCACTAAACCGTTATTAATCAGATTAGATTACTTTTTTTTGGTTAACAAGGAGAGCGCAAGGTTACATTGAATAGTGTTAATCGTCACAATTCAGTTCATTAGTTAAATGTTTCACTTTGCTTTGGCTTGAATAACCTTTGATGGTATGAAGAAGAAGATGAAAAATAACACAAAATGCTATTGATTACAAATTTAATTTCAAGTTGATATTGATATTCACTGACTCATTCATTCATGAAAATAACTTGAACAGAACTTTATTTTCTCTTTGCACAGCAAAAGGTGGTCTCATAAAAAAGTCATTTTTCTCCTTGGATATTAGAGATTGAATAAATTTGGGTTTTGGCAAAAACGATCTTTCCATATCTAATGGATGACCCTATCATTTTTATAAGCTCCAGAGTTAACTGCAGTTCTCAAGCATTTAGGTTGATGGAAATTTCACTACTTCCAATCCTCTTTACATGATGTATAGATTGCATAGATGAATACCGTTTATTCAGAAAACTGATGCCTTGATAACCGCAGTTACTAAGTATCTAAACTTACACCTATTGATACAAGTGCGATAATAGAGATCCATTAATTGTTAATTCCCTTCTCGAATAACTTCTCAATGAGAAGTTCTCATCTTTAACTTGTTCGCCGTGCTCGTCCCATAAACTCAAAATTTATATTGAATATAATCCTTATCATGTTTTATAGACTGGGTGAAAGCTAGACTGGGTTAAGCTTAAAGGTGGTTAAAGTGATCAAAAGTATGACACTGGGCAAAAGAATCAGAATCTTGAATATGAATTTTATAGGTTGTACACTGCAATATGTTGCTAAAAATATCTCTTTAGTTTCAAGTGAAGTTTGGCCAAAAACACAAAAAAATGGCAGATCAAAAGTGCAACATGATAAAAAGAAATTAAGACAATTCAGTATTGGAGACGAAGTATTATATAAGAACCAAACGGGTCCTAAAAAATTAAATGCTAGATTCACTGGCCCCTATAAGGTCATTGATAAAATGGGTCAAACTACTTACAAAATCTTACACATGAATCAAAAGGATAGAGTCAGGAGAGTGCATGGTAACCAACTAAAACCTTATCATTCTCCTTTGTCAATTTCCTTAATACTTTTGATAGGACTAATTTGTCTGGTAACTGGACAAATCAATCCTTTTATAACGGGAGATACAATTTTGTGGAAAGAAACAGAACACAAACCAAGAAAAGCAACCCAAGAAATAAGAATAATCTTAGCCTTCTCAAATCCTTGCAAAGAAATGCTGAAGTTTCAAGAAGATGAATATGGGGAAATAAAGAATAGATCAAACCCTCTGAATGGTTGTCCCTTGAGGAACCTGCAATGCCCGGTTATAAGAAAATACTTGTTTACTATTCAGGATTATTGTTCAGAATTCATTGAGGAAAAGTATATTCAGCCAATTAGATTTATTCGAACAGTTATACCTAAAGAGGAAAAATCACCACAGTTGTTGAAAAGAGAAATTATAACCTTAACGACAGTAGCTGTTGGGACAACAGCTGTCGTGGTGGGAGGTGTAGTACTTACAGGAGTAGCATACATGTATAAAAGTGTTATGACACCTGAGATCGATTTTAGACCCGTGATAGAATCAATAACGGCACAAAATGCAGAATACAAGAAAGCTTTAAAAACACAAAACGAATACTTGATCAATGTTACAAAAATTCTGAATAAACAACAACAGCAAATTGATGTACTAAAAAAACTTATACCTATTGTTTCGTTTCAAGCAGCAGATGTAGTAACTGGTTCAAACACTCAGTTAATTCTTATGCAAAAATTTAATGAAAGTATATCAAAACCCAAACCAACAATAGATCCTAATTTTTTCACGTCCCTAAAAATCAATTTGAGCTGTGACGATTGTGACTTATCAGTGATTGAAAGAATTTCAGTAAAAGTTTACAAGGAAGATAAATATCCAATTTTAAGTTTAAATTTTACAACCTTTAGGCAAGACCAAGTTACAAAAATATTCCAAGCGGACCCATTTTTATTGTATAAGACCAATGCGACACATACATGTAAAAGTAGATACAGAGGACCAGAATATTTATTAGTAAATACCACCACATATCAGTTCTGTGAAATTGATGGAAGTGAGTTGAAGTCACCAAACCCTGTTTTCGCTAAAGTGGACAACCTGTCCGAATAGTTAATAGAACACAGCTCTGGAGAGATGAGCATTGTGTATCTAAAAACGTGAATGAAACAATTGTGGCAGAGAAAATCCAAGTTAAAAATATGGGTGATCATTATTTGATTCATTGTGCAGGACATAAAATTGAAATATACTCAGGTACATATTTATGTCCAAATCAAGTTATCAAACTATCAAAATATACCAATTTTAGTATTGATGACATGAAGTATACTTCCAACAATTTTTTCATTTACGTTAGAGGTCCTAGAGTAACAGAACATACTCAAGCAATTAATTTAAAACTGTTTCAACCAGTTTATCAAGAAATCAATATAGCACCCTTAGAATTTGAACTTCTGGAAGCAGCTCAGGAAAAAGTACTTTCTAGTTTTGAGCAGATCAATCTTATTTGGAGATTTGACTACGTTAAATGGATTTCAATCGCACTACTCATAACCATCTGTTTCTTATTATGCACCCTTAGCGTCCGTTTTATGTTAACTCCAAAACGAACCGTGTACTCAATAGTTAACGATGAGAAAGAAAAACAGAAAAGTAAACCTAAAAAAGGACAGAAAGAAAGAGTGCAACTACATGAGTGTTACTAAACAAAACAAAAAACAAACAAAAAAATTAGATAGGCAAAAATATAAAAACCCTGGTGAAAGGGAGGAAAAAAAATGTGAAAAACCCTGGTGAAAGGGAGGAAAAAAAATGTGAAAAACCCCTGGTGAAAGGGCGATAATAAAATAAATTCAAAAAAAAAATATATATATATATAATTAAAAGTAAATGCATAGCTTTTACTTATTTAGTTAACTCCGGTGAATGGGGTAAACTAACGCATCTATTATTTCTTCACAATTTAGATGGAGTTGATGGATGAATCTAATATCGTTCCTAGAGAGAACGCAGATCTATTGGCTAGTCAACGACGTTTGGAGAGAGAGGTCGTAAATGGCAAATTAATAAAACGAAAATCTGAGTCACAAAGATTTCAACTCCAAGCTCCCGTAAATGCTTCATATTATATTACTCAATGTTATCTGATTTTGTCCATATATGCTAAACATTTCATTGGATATTACGGTCATCCACGTCCTTATCTTGACCGAAGTTATTTCAAATTATCTGGAACTCCGCCTGAAATGAACCGATACACAAAACTTACAGTTTCAACAAATATTTTATTCTACATGAATAAAGCTGAACAATGCCTGAAAAGACACATCAATCATCTACAAAACCAGTTAAGCCATAAACAGAAACAGAAATATCCTCTTGAACTCATTCCATTGTCTAATCAACACTGCACTATCTGTTTTAAAACAAACCATCTTAAGCCGAATTGTAAAAATTGTTCTTATTGTTCAAGCGAGTTACATCTACGAAAATTTTGTCCTGAATTACAAGTTGAGCAACCTTTCACTTTGAACTTAGTAACTCCAACAACTACTAATCCGAGATACAAAGTATATCGACAATTAAGAAAAGAAATACGACGACAAGAAAGAAAACAATTTGAAAATCGAATCTGGTTCAGAACGCCTAATCAATTTAACCCTGAACTAATTTATCAACTAGAACCAATTGGAATAGAACAAATGCAACGAACAGTCGCTCTAGATATTGAAGGTAACGGTAATGGAGGTCTAGGAAATGTCCATATATCAGGATGGTTTGGTAAAATCAAAAGAATTCAAACGGTATATTATGCTGAAATCAAAGACGTAACAGTTGTAAATCCGAATACAAGGATAACGGGACTGCAAATAACAGATTTAATTAATGGTACTCCTTTCGCTGAAGTGAAACAAAAGATATTAACTATCATTAATGGTTTGAGAGTGATTACTCAAGGTAGCAGTGATTTTGAGAAACTACAAATAACTACAGCAGAAATTCAACGACATAAAATAGATCATATTGATCTTCAACAGATTTGGCCTGGACGCCAACCGCTAGGATTGAAAAATATAGATATGTTTTTCTATCCTGATCATAATAAACTGAAACGAGATGATCCTACTTCAGTAATTTACGGGCATTCTCCAGAAAGAGATTCAAGGGTCACCTTGAAAGCATATATGGAATTTATCAGATTAACACAACAAAGCCGAGTTCCGACTACAGAAGAAATCAGAGATATGGTAAAATGTGGTCTATCGGTCAAAGATTGGTGATGGTCAACGCCAGATGATCCTAATGATTTTTACACAAAAAACATATATTTTACTTAGTAACCTATTCATGTATCAGTTACCATTCATTGTATTAGTTTAGATTAATCCTTTATTGTAAAGAACGAGGACGTTCTTCCTTGTACCCCGGAAGAATTGTAACAAGGAAAAAAGATGTTCTTTAGTTTTAACTAATTTGCATGAAACTTAGATTAGATCATTTCCGTAGCCAACCAGGAAAAAAAGAGCTAGAAAAGACTGACAGGAAATCCACGAGGAATGAGCGAATGAACGAGGAAAAGATGAAGAAAATAAGGATTGGAAGGAGAGAAAAGTTAGATGAAAAAGGGTATAAGAATTGAATGGAAATGAATTCTCAATGTACATAAAACTAACCACCAACTTAGTTGATAATCATAGTGAAAATAAAGTAGATTTTATGTAACAACTGTGTCAATTTTAAGTTTACCTTCATCTTAAATCAACTCAACAATTGATCCAATTGTAACTCTACATAACATAACAGTAATTAACTTAATATAACTTAATTTCCAATTGAAGTGTAGAGTTACTGAACTAATTTTTGATTTTGTTGAATAAATTTTTATTAAAAACCCACGGAAAAATGGGATAAATGTTCGCCCATTTGAATCCCATCACTTCCAATTAAGCTTCGTCTGAGTACAAGACAAATAAGTAAATCAATGCACTAACATTATCTTGATCATGATTTTTGTTGGTTAATGTTAATGAAAATCAAGCGATTCAAATATTTAAAGTGCAAAAAGTAAATTGAATCTTCCATCAATCAGTGAACGGTTGGTCAATATTCTTGAAAATCAAACTAACAGTTGGTTAGATAGACTTGATGGTTATGCCGAAATAGCTTTGTCAGTTGAAATTCATCAATTAAATTGATTAAATCAGGAATAAATAAAGAAACATAAATTAATAGCCTCTGATTTTCTGTGAAAATAGTCTTATTTAAGCAGCATTAAACTTGCTGTGAAAATAGCCAAACATGATTTTTTTGTAAACAAAGTGACTATTCTTTCCATGTGACTATTTAATTAAATGATAATGTCCCTTTTCGGCTTTAATCGACAGTTTTTGCGATTAGGACGACTGTTACATGCAAGAACTATTCTTTCGTCAAGTTATGCGTGCCAAGAGGAATGGACAAAAAGGTTACAAGAGCCAGTTTTTGCTGGTGTTAATGCAGGTTTGTTTACTATCTTTATTATTATTCTTAATGCTAATATTACTGCTGTTCTAATTGATTTCATGTCTCTTACAGATGAATTTTTCTTCAAAATGAAAGAAAGAGCCAAGTCAAAGGTACCCATCGAGCCAATAGATGTCGATATATTTGCAAATGTCAGTGGTCATGAAAATCTTGAAGAATGTATTTATTTTTTGACACTGCTGCGAGAAAATAGACGAACTGCATTCACTTTAGAATCTACACATCATGCCGTATGCCGTTTATTTCTGAATGCTGATGCTGCGGACAAATTATTACCGATTCTTCAAGATCGCTTGAAGTACGGAGTGTTTCCTGACAATTTTGCATTTAATATGATAATGGACCACTTTTTAGAAAAGTCAGATTTCACAAGTGCCTGTAAAGTTGCACACCTTTATATGTTGCAAGAGGACTTCTCAAAATTAACCAACGTTTTAGCTTTGTATTCTGTTTATGGATGTTTGACGGATCCTGCACAGAAAGAAGCTCTATGTAAATCTGAGGAGAAACCAGTATCTGAAGAGGAAAAAGATAACCAAGGAGACGAGGATGAAGTTGAATATGTCAGAGTACCATTCGTCAGAAATCCTCACTTTGATGATCATTTTGATCTGAAAGATCCTATCTTACTCAGCGGTAAAACTCTCTATCTCATTGGTTTACGATATAATGGTGTTATTGGACTAACCTCGCAACTAATAGGACTTGCACTTTGGAAAAAATGGTCCTTGGCTCAACAATTATTGGAAAAAGTTATTGCTGATCAACCTAATAGTTATTTTGCTAAAGGAACTATTGAATTGATAAATGATTTTGTTAGTTCTGAACCAGATGCAGAAGAAACAACATTTATAGAGAAACTCAAATCCAATGAAAATTTGATGAAAGGAGAAAACATTGTTGAACTAATCAAGAAAGAATTCAATTCATTGTCCGAACTGGAGTCAAAAGATTGTTCCTTATTGAAAGAAAAATTTTTGAAATGGTCCGATGATAGAGCGAAGGCGCTTCAGGAGCAATTGGAAAAGTACGTTAGAGAAGAAAAAATAAAAGAAATCAAGGAGAGGAAAAAAGAATTGGAGCTAAAAGAAAGAAAACTGTTCTTCTTTGAAAATTTCAATAAGATTGAAATGGAATACGTGGAAGCTAAAAAGAAATTAGACGAACTTAAAGCGTCAGAAGCCGAAGAGGAATACTTCCCACCAAAAAGATGAAAGCATTGAAATTTTATATTATAATGATAATAAAAATTTAAAACATGCAGTAAATACTGTTTGTTACTAATAATTCAATGTTTGTTAGATAGGAAAGTACATTTGAACTTTGTAATTTGAATATTGCTCATGTCGATGAATTCATTATTGTTGTATGCTACCAATAGAAATTTTTCTCGTAAATTTTGAGCCACTCAGTATTGTGTAAACTCAAATAATTGAAATAGCCTCGAGACACTCGAATATGATCATCATTTGAGTAAGATCAGTGTAATTTCCATGTTTCATTGTTTATTGCATCAATATGAAACTTTCACACCAAAAAATATTAATAAATCTTAGTCAATTCAAATTAACTGAAATATTTGAGGTAATCAATATCAAAAATTAAAGTATATTTGATGAAATAAAAGACACATTAACAAGTTCTAGACAAATGGGTATTTTTATTATTTCATCTGGGAACCTTTTTTGATCTCATCTTTATATAATGCACCTTATGATGACATTTTTGTAACTTTACTTTAATATCACTTGAGGCTTGTCCAGATAAAAGTATACTTTGAAAATTATCGGCTTGGACCATGTAAGAATAAGATCATTTAAGAGAATAAAACCAGATTCACAATAAAAGGAAGCTCATAAAACAAATGCTGTATTATCATGGTGCCTCTACAGATTTGCAAGGACATGGATAAGAAAATAGAGAAGAGCGGAAATCATTCGGTTGCATATGACTTCATGAGATCCGAAGCAATTTTTAAATGTTCATTGAGTGAGTTCAACTTATGTTCCAATTGATGGATAATCTTGACCAGCAGGCCATTCTCTTCGTCTTCATCGATGGTAATCGGCTTTTTTCTTTCCTCTTCAAGATCTTGGACCTTAGATCTTAATTGAGCCTCCAGATTCTCTAAATTCTTCTTTACATTGTCCTTTATCATGGTCGGATACATTTTTTTACAGGTTTCCACTTTACTATTCAGCTTATTCATTGTTGTAAGAGCTTGTTTGGCAGTTAGGTCTTTAAAATTGAACACCTTTTTTGTTTCCAAAAGGTCAAAAGGATCAAATTCATCACTAACATCAGCTGATGGTTCCTTTACTTCAGATTCTTCAGCATCATCAACACTTTCTTCAATTGAGGTTGAGGCATACTCGGCTGCTATAGCGGATAAATTGTTAGCACTATTCAATTGGCCAATAATGCTACGCCGATTACAGTTAGCATCTCCATAGGAAGTAAAATTAAAGTCCAGTGAGTCTAAAGAGAATTCCTCTTCTTCATCATCCACTGGTTGTGATAATGTTTTAGATGGAGCAATGAACGTCTTTTCAGCTACATAAGTGAATAAGTATAATAAGAAAATGAACAAAGAAAAATATTAACGAACAAATTTTAAATAAAAGATTATAAATTTTGACTTACCATTAACTGGTTGTTCCACACGAATCAAGTATGGACCTTCTAAACTCTCCTCCAATGTTGAATTAGCGATACTTTCACCTTCCATTTTTGAAATTAAAATTGAAACAAAATCAACTTAAACTAAAACACTTTAAGCCTAAATGCTTCTCATTGGATGTAAACAAAAGTTTTTTGTGTTCATGATGTGAAAGTTGCGGTAAATTATTTCACACACTTATCCATCTCAATCACAGCCAATGAAAAAACTATAAATATCAATAGCAAAATACGGATCGAAAAAATGAAAAAAGTTTGTAAAATCATTCAACTTTAATGAAATAATTTAATTTAAAAATCAAGAATAAATCTATTTTCAAATCACATCTCAAGCTTAATTTTCGTAATTGACTGAATCTGGTCCAAGCTTTCGCTTTTAAATCTGCCAATTTACAAATGAACATCAAATCTACATCAAATCTACATCATTATCAATTTGCATTAAAAAAAAGATTTCCTTAATCACTCAATAATTGAAAGAAAAATTAATTAACCGATTTAAAAGTTAAATATTGAGTTAAATAAAATGAAATTGCAAAACATTATTTGACCATGCAATTTTCATCAAGAAATAGTTCATTTGATACAGACTTTTCCTCCATCACTTTTCTGAACTCAATTCTTAATGATTGGAAAGTTCAATTGACCATTTCTGAAAAGTGATGGAAAGAGTCTTTTCCTTCATTTCTAGGATCTTGAATGCAAACAATTAATATTTAAGTAGCTATAAGCCAATCATCAGTTTTTAGCCCACAAAATATTATAATTGCTGCATTCAAGATGTTTTTGTTTCAACTCAGAACTCAATTTTTGTAATTGAAGAATCAATCATTCAATCTCACAAGGGAAGTGCCTTTGCTGGTACGATCATTTTCAATTTTTTTCGGGCTTATATTGTAGAGGGCAAAAAATAATTAGACACGTATTTTTGCTTTTGTTTCGCTAGTGCGCGATTATTGAAATTTAAGCACTTTTTATTAAAGATAGTAATGCACTGCAGCCATTGAAAAGTACATAAAACAGATGAAAAGCAGAAAATGAAAATATCTTACTGAAAATTGTAAATCAATTTTCAGTAACTTAAA